GGACCCAACAGTCTGAAGTGACAGACTCCCAGGCCCGGTGGAAAGGAAGTAAACGGTCCCAGAAGGGATGGGGACGAGGCTGGTACGCTGATCTTGGGCATACCTTCAAAATCCATGTCGAGGTGCCGAGGGTTTACCGGACAGACTCTGACTCTGGTCCTGGTCTGGTATCTACCATTCCTCCCATTGCTGTTTCTGCTACGGTGGTGGAAGTCAGGCCATGTGCCCTGATGAAAAGGCTTAGCGGCGTTCCTCCCTAAAAAGGAATGCTGCTGGGTGGCCATGGTGTGAATACCCGAGGATTTCAGGGTAGCTTGGGTGTCCTTGAGACCATGCAGACGCTGGTCACTCTACTCTGAAAATAAGGAGGGACCCTCGAAAAGGAGGTTTTGGATGGTTGCATTTTGGGGGGCATCCCGGACCCTTGAAACCAAGAACTGCAGCGCATAATCATCCCTGTAGCTATGAAGCCTGTGGCTGCGTCAGCTGCACTGAGGGCAGCCTGGATTGTGGCCCTAGGGATTGCCTTGTCTTCCTCTGAGAGGGCACAAGTTTAGCGCTCAGAGTCTCTAGGGAGCAACTGTGAACTTGTCCAGGGAGGCCCAGGTACTGTACGCATAGAAAGACAGCAGAACATGCTGGTTCGCTATGTGGAATTTTAGGCCCCCCAAGGTGTAGGCCTTTCTGCCTAACAAGTCCATATGCTTGGCCTTCCTGTTCTTAGGGGTAGCGCCAGGTTGACCCTGCCTCTCCCTTTGGTTCATGGCCTGAACGACCAAGGACCCTGGGAGCAGGTGGAGGAAGAGATATTCGTTCCCTTCGTGGAGCACGAAATATCGGTGCTCGGCTCTCTTGTCTGTTGGCGGGATAGAGGCTGGGATTTGCCAGAGGGACTTAGATATTTTGGCCACCATTTTGTTAATGGGAAGGGCCACTCTGGTGGGGCATCTGACTGCAAAATGTCGACAGTCAGATCGGAGTCCTCCAACACCCTTTCACCCTCAGGCTCTGTGCTAGGCCTCTAAGGAGGTCATGATGTGCCCTCGAGACCATGGAGGGCATGGAAGGAAGAGTATTGCAGAGGGCCTCATCAGGGAGGAAAATGAGGAACCCATGAATCCATCTCAGCAGGGACCTCAGCCTGCAAGGGGGCCTGGGAGACCACTGATGATGGCCCTGCCACTGGCTGAACTGCCTGGCCCTCGGATTCCAAAGACCTTGGGGACATTTGGCCTGGGGGAAGTGAGTGCCCCGACGTGGGTGAACGTGTCAGAGGGGTCGCCGAATGGGATGCCCTGGACCAGAAGACCAACTCTGGTCTGGAGAGGCCCACACCCTGCGTCTGCTCGTAGGCCCATGGGGTCCAAAACAGCCATTGAGGAGGCTCTGGAACCTGAGAGTGCCAGGCCTGCTGCATCACAGGTACTGGGATGGTCTGCGGGCATTGCTGCTGCTGATGGGCAGAGATACTCTGGTGCCGTGAACAGTGGGTATAGGACCGATGCTGGGACCTGGACCCTGTGGACGACCAGATGGACTCTGCCTCTAAGTTGGCTGAGTACTCCAAGGCCAACCATGGCCAGGCGGAGGCAGATGCAGTCAGAGACTGGCTGGTGAGGCATGCCAAGCCATCGACTCTGGTTTACTCCAGTGCTGGCGGCGAAGAGGAGGAGGCATGGCCAGGTCCAGGCTTGGGCCCTGAGCAGAGCCATTGATCGCAGTGACCAGTGCTGTGCTCGGTCCCGGTGCCGGGCTGAGGCATGGGCTGGGGTAGAGATCACAGTCGGTGCTGGCCCTGTAGACAGGGCCACGCACAGTCCCGGAGCAGCATGGGAAGAAGCCATAGTGGAGCGGTGCTTCTTGGGGTCCCAGAGCGGCATAAAAAGAAGTTATAGCAGAGCAGTGCTTCCTGGGCTCCAGTGCCGGGACGGCTGGTCCCTTGGGTTCCAATCAGTACCAGCCGGGGTCTCAATCTTTTCCTGAGATCTGTACTGGTGGAGGAGAAGGGGACAGCTTGACCAGGTCCCTGGCCGCCTCGAACGCCTCAGGAGTCGAGGGCTCCGTAACGTCCTCCATGGGACTGGTGTCCTGACGTGGGCTCGGGCTCCTGCCCAGCCTCAAAGGGTTTGGCACCTGACAGTGCCGTGTCCCCCACTTGAGGGAGCACAGAGGGCACGCACCATGGGGGCAACCTGCTCCTGCTAGAGTACCTCTGCCCATCAGCAGCTAGACCTCCTCTTCTTCTCAAGCACCAGGGACTGGGAGCGGTGCCAAGGTTCCCGTGGTGCGGGGGAGGCACATAAATGGCCCGATGCCTCCTGCACTGAAGCCGGTGCAGTATGATGGCTTTTCCTATGGCAACGTCCCAGGATAGAGCTCTGTGCTGGGCTGAAATGCTGGGAAGAAAAGCGGCTGTGAGGCTTAGTGCTAGCTTTGCTTGGGGAGCGAGCCAGAATCAGTGATCTGCGTGAGTGTACCGATTGTATAAAGGAACCTGGAGATACCAGTGCCGGTGATGGATGTCTCCTGATGGACTCATGTTGCAGGTGCTCCTGGGACAGTACTGAGGTACGCGGTTTATTCGGTGCCGTTGATACAAGCACTGCCGATTGGTCAGGAGGTGGCATCTCAGTGAGGAGTCTCTTAGGTACTGAGGCCGGTGCCAACTGAGTTGGCATCTTCGGTGCCGAGCAGTGCTGACTGTGCCACTTGTTTTTGTTTGGGCTCTGATTGCGCCCTTTTATGGGGTGCTGGCATCTTGGGCGGTGCCATGACCGATGTGTTAGGCTTATCTGTGGTGCTGACCCTCAAAGACATCGGTGCCAAGGGTAAGGATGAGGCTGGAGACAGTCTCATTTTCGAGAGAGACATGCCAGAAGAGATAGAGGGACGTGTTTTGTCCATATCTTTCGGCTCAGAAATAGGCTTTGAGGCAGATGTGTCCTCAGAAGATGGCTGGAATGACCTTCCGTAGAGGAAAGTTTTCAACCTGTTGGCACAGTCACGGTGTGCTCTGGCCTTCAATTTAGAACAGTGAGGGCACTTGTGTCTGGTGAGATTATCCAAGACACTTTATACAAGCATAGTGTCCATCAGGGATGGGCATAGCATCCCGGCATGACTCTCACTTTTTGCAGCTGGAAGATCTCGGCATCAGGTGCATTGAAAACAAGCGGGTCAATGACAACAGAAGAAAAAAATACCTATTTTTTTAATAGGGTCGGGTAGGGGGGGTCTTAAAACTTGGAAATGTGAGGAAACCAAAGGGAAATAACCAGTTTTATGGGGGTTTTCTGTAGAAACAGTGGAAAGAAGAGAAGCTCTGTCTGCTGCCGAGGATGGTAGAGAAGTACCTGAGGGGTCACACCGCGTGCATGCCTAACAGACACTAACGGCACAAGGGGATGCTACAGCGCATGCGTAGCAGGCACTGCTAGAAAAATCTCTGGTTGCCAGCATGAGGACGCACCAGCACACAGAGTGGAGCACCCAGGAGGACACTACTCGAAGAAGAACATACAGTTACTTAAAAGTACAGGTCAAAAGTCAAGAGCAACCAGAGAATTCAATACATGATTTTAATAATGAAAACCACAAATAAAGGAAAGGAAGTTGTTGCGGGAAAAAACAAGTCATTTAGGTGAAAGGGCAACAAATAGAAAACACAAAGATAACTCAGCCCTGGAAGGAAATATGTACATGAACGAAGTTTGTGAAATGGCTTAGATGCCTTTCTAAAGGTACAATAATTATTTTAATCTGAGAAATTCCAATACCTAGATGATGTTCTCAGCTTTATGCCTTGAATAATGTAAAGAATAATATTCACCAGGCTGTCCACAAGGCTGTTATTCCATTAAGGGTTCAATTCAAGAAGTCTATTAATATTTTATTTTAACTTTAAAAAAGATGGAATGGGAAGTTAATGAAATTTTAAGCACAGCATTTCTTCATTTTATTGTTTTTTTTTTGTTTTGTTTTTAAATTAAAGTTTTTCTCCCTCTGTTTCCTGTGGCAATCTTGAAATTTCAGCTGCTGCCCACGGGTAATTTCCTATAGTGGCTATTAAGACTTCCTATTAAAGATAAGCTAAATTGGGAGTTTATGATGCTCCGGTTTTACTTTTAATTTTTTTAAAATAAAATGTTATAAATCTTTCAAGAAGGTTTAAAGGTTACAGACCAGGAGATTTTTATCCTCTGATGTCTTAAAGTTCATTGTCTGAGTGAAAAGGGGGATGCAATGGGAAATATAACATGATCTTGCATCACTGAAGTAAATAAGAGTTTTATTATTGACTGCAGTGGAGCACAGTTAATCCCTACAAAGGACAATATCATTCTGTTTTTTCTATGTATGTATTTTTTTAAAAAGCAGCATTACTGCATAGCACAAAAGTGACTACTTTAACATATGTTATGTTATTAACTGTTCAGAACTAAATTGAAAAAAACTTCAAATGTTTAAAAGCGAAGAGCCACACATTTCAAAGTAACCTAACTGAACAGCAGATACTTATTAGTGGTGTACTTAGATTCAGGATGAGGCTGCTTCTAAACTTCTCAGCCCATAAAGCATATCACTAAGATGATACTTGAGTATTCAGAAAAGTGAGCTGAAATGCTCAGGCAAATGCATGCCTGTTGCTCAACCAAGAAATAATAGTATTTCTAACTTTAGGACAGGGCTCCACATTATAAAAGTTAATTCTTTGTTATCATGCAATAAATAGATCAAAGTTGTATTAAAAATCTATTTAAAGGGACTACTGATCCTTTGAAGAACACAGATTTCTTTTTAAAAGATGGTTGTCAGATTCTGATCACTAGAGGGCAGCAATATTTAAAACAGATTAACATAATCTACTGAACTACTGAGTACACAACTGAAAACTGGGAAAACTATAATGTTTCAGAAGGAAATAGTTTATGTACTGTGTAGTTGAAACAACATAAGGCAGAATCAACCTCTGTAGATTAAACAAATCTTGGGTAACTTACTTTGCAAAATCCAAGTAAGATATATGCCCATGATAAAATCCTGGCTTCATTTCCTTCCAGGAAGTTACATTCTTCACAAATCGCACCTACAAAAGTAGAAAAAACAGTCAATATCCCAGTACTGTTTGTAATGGCTGATGCTTAGATTCCAATAATAAATTCCACTCAGTAACTACAACTATGATAAAAATCTATCACTATGAATATTACCAAAAGACACATGACTAACTAAAAAGGATGAACACTCCAATTCACTATTTTTTCCACTTCCTTCTCCCTCTCGCCATCCCCCCTATTTATTTTGGAACTGGACTTTTAATACTCCATTCATCTGAAGAAATGGGTATCTACATGTTTTGTTAGTCTTTAAGATGCTGCTAGACCATTTGTTGTTTAAAAAGATACATTGGTTAGAAGCACATGGCAACTGACTTATCTTAGTGTCACAATTTAAAGCTAATAAAACATGAAGCCGAATGCAGCAATCAAAAAGGCAAAGAAAGGAGTCAGAAATATGACCAATAAACTAACAAATATTTTTGTTGGTTAGCAATGCGGAGCTGCATCCCACCAGTGGCATACACCTTACGCCCCATTAGGTCGAGGCGTTTGGGCTCTCTAGCCTTTGGGGACAGCCCCAGTTGCAGAAGTCTCTCCTTTTGGGCCGCGGCTTGGACTACCAGGAACCCCGGGACAGGCTGGGAATATAGGTGCTCGTGCCCTGACTGCAGGATATAATAGCGCCTCTCGACTCCCTTTAAGGTAGGGGTTAAGGAAGCCGGGGTCTGCCACAGGGCGTTAGTGATCTTAGCCACAGTTTTGTTGAGTGGCAAAGCCAAACGGGCCGGCGCATCGTCGGACAGGATGTCTAACATGGTATCCGTGTCCTCCACTACTAGCTCCACTGGGACACCCAGGTTGGAGGCCAGACCCCGGAGCAGATCCTGATGTGACCGAGAATCCATCGTCGGCATCGCCAGTACGGGATCTGCTAAAGCTTCGTCAGGAGATGAGGACAACAATGACTCCTGGAGTGGCATTGGATCCATCGTAGGGCCCGATGGAGGGGGCGGCTGGGCAGGCGGCACTGCATGCGGAAGCGGGTCCGGCACCGAAGCCTGCGGATCTGTAGTGGCATCGATAGTAGTAGCGCTCTGAGGTGAGGAGGGGGGGGGGTTGTGACAGCGACACCAATGGAGGTGCCTGGAGACACTCGACACCGCGGAGGGGGGCACAGGCCCTTGCCACTGGTACGGAGGGGGGCACAGGCCTTTGCCACTGATAGTATGCCGAAGGCTTCCAAAAAGGCCAATGCGACTGAGGCGGCCAAGTCTGCTGCACACGTGAACGGTCACGCCAGTGCCAGGAACGGGATCTATGATGTGACGAAGCTCCCGAGGACTCCGACCTGAAAGAGCCCACATCGGAATCCGACTCACGCCAGGATGGTTCTGATGATGAGTGCCCTGCCACCATCAGAGGGACGAACCTGGCCATAGATTCTGGCTTGCCCGCATGCATGCGGTGACAGCGTACCGATACCGGTGCTGGGAAGACAGGCCCCTATACCTCATGCAGCATCGATGCGGTGCATGTGGACTGCAGTGCCGAAGTTGGTGCCAGTTGCGAGTGTGGAACTCCCAAGTCCAGTTGTCCAAAAGACAGTGCCCCCATCGTTGCTCCTGTGGACACCACAGCAGGTAGGACGGAAGGCACTGGAGCCGTAGTGGTCGCCCTCGAAGAGATCAGCGCTATCGGCGTTGGTGGTACCGGCATGGCCCACAGGACCGATGCAGATACCTACAGCGGCGCCGAAGAGCCCGGTGCCTGCACTTGTAACAGTGCCGAAGACTGAAGCAGCACCCTGGTCAAGAGGGTTGGTGCCGGTGCTGTTGACGGTGCCACAAGGATTGAGTAATACGGTGCGTTTGACAGTGCCATTGACGATGCAACGAGGCCTGAGTAATACGACACCGGGGCAGCCAAGACTGGGTCCGAGAGAGGTCCCAGCACCAATGGGGGTCGAGGCCAGTCGGTGCCGTGTGAGGCCTGGCAGCCTGCGTTGAGGCTAGCACCAAGCGGTACTGGTCCCACAGGAGATGGTCCCGCTGCATATGTGACCGGTGCCGACCGATCCAACTGGTGCGGAGGAAAAGCCGGTGCCAACATGGCTCCCGGTGTCAAAGATCTCGACCTCTCCGCCTCAACCGACGACAGAGGGTAGGTAGTGAGGCTAATCAGGTCCTGCGCTGCCTCAAAAGTGTCCGGCGTCGAAGGACGACGTGAGGGTAGCTGACCTGGACTTGATGGTCGTCCAGCTCTTTTACGCCGCACCGCAGCAGTCAGAGACGCCTGCACCGGGGAATTCGAGGCGACGGTGTAATCTGGAGCTGGACTTCTGGCTCGGAGACTGCCCTTGGCGCCTGCACCTTGACTTCTTCGGTGCCGGGGAGTGACAGCAGTGCTGAGGCCTCGGTACCGAAGTCCACGCACGGGATGGAGTGTCGCACATCAACACTGGCGCACTGCAGAATGTCCAGTCAGTGCCAGTTGTAAAGACACCTCCATGAGGAGAAGCTTCAAACGAGAGTCCCGCTCCCTCTTCATGCGCGGCTTGAACGACCTGCAGATCTTACAGGTGTCTGCTAGGTGACCCCCCCCACACTTTAAACAGCTATCATGAGGGTCTCCCTCGGGCATGAATTTAGCGCATACAGTGCAAGCCTTAAAGCCTTGCAGCCCAGGCATTCCTCTCCCCCAAAGGGGGAGAAGAAAAAAAACCCAAAGAACTGCCAACTATCTAACTAATTTGAACTATTTACAACACTAAGAGAAACAGGAACCCTTAACTTCTCTAACAGAGAGACACACTCCAATGACCGTCATGGGCGGTAAGAAGGAACTGAGGAGGGAGAGCGCCGGCAGAGGTACTTATGCTCCGCCATAGCGGTGCCACTCCAGGGGGCGCCCTGCCGGCGCTATGGGTACTGCTAGGGAAAACGCTCTGGAAGACACGTGGTGCGCTCACCTGATTCAAATGGACATGAGCAACCACTCGAAGAAGAACATGGAGCAATGTTCTCACGTTACAGTGGAGGAGGTCTAGTTTGGATATAAGGAAAAACTATTTCACAAGGAAGGTAGTGAAGTACTGGAATGGGTTACGTAGGGTGGTGCTGTGATCTCCACCCCTAGAGGTTTTTAAGTCCCTGCTTGACAAAGCCCTGGCTGGGATGATTTAGTTAAGGCTGCTCCTGCTTTGGGCAAAGGACTAGACTCAATGACCTCCTGCAGTCTCTTCCAGCCCTAGGATTCTGTGCGAATTCAGAAATGAAAAAAAGGCAGTAAAGATTCTGAGAGTAAGGCAAATAGTCTTGGAATTGATAACACTGAACTCTTTGGTTTATTATGCCATACCAAGAAACAGTCTAGAGGACTTTTTGAAGACTTTTGTCCTATTAAGGTAGAATGAAAGGGCTCTGCTAACATCTAGGACATTCAGTACAGCCGCCCTATTTTCTTGGTGAGAGTTTGGATAGGAAGCAGGAAGGCAAAAAGACTGATTGATGTGAAACAAGAAGGTCTCTTTAGGAATGAACCTTGGATGTGGCCTAAGTGTAACCTTGTCAGTGAAAAATACAGAGTACAGGGAATGCATCATCAGATCTGCTAGCTCCCTTATTCTTCTAGCCAAGGTAATGGCAATGTGAAAGACTGTTTTCAAATCAATAGATATATTGTTGAATAGGTGGCCATAGATTCAAAGGGATCCCTTTCAATACCAGGATTTGGCGCCATGAGAGGGTAGGAAGTTGATGTTGAAGGAAGACATTTGTGATTCCCCTTTTAGTGATTGGATGCAATAGTGCTGATGATGGGTGAAAAGCTATAAGAGCACTAGATGGACCCTAAGACATTTTAGAGATAACCTTGATTTTTTCAGAGTCAGGATATATTCCAGATTATGTGGAAGAGTTGCTGACACTGGAGAGATTTGTTGGGATATGAACCCAACCTGGAACCATGACTATTTGTGCAGATAAGTATGTCTTGTGAAGGACTTTGTACTGTTTAGTAGAACCTCTTGCACTTCCTTTCATCATGAACTTTCTAGGTGCTGGATTCACATAGGAGTCATGCCCTAAGGTAGAAGATCTGCAAGTTGGGTTGTACACCCTCTGTCCTGAGACAGCAAAGATGCAGAGTAGATGGAAGGAAGATAAATGGGGACAATGCAAGCTGCACCACGTAAACGTATCAGGTCTATGTGGAAGCAATAAAAAATTCCAAGATCTCCATTGCTTTTTATCTTTAGAAAGACCTTCAGCAAAAAAGAAAATGGAGCAACAATGTAAAAAACGGTAATTGTTCAGTGGGAGGACAGAACCACCCAGAGAGTGCCATCCGATACCCACCCTGGAACAGTACTGTGAACACCTGACATTTCGGTAAGTTGTGAACAGATCTATGGACAGCGTTCCCCATTGTGTGAACAAGTCATGAAGTATTGATGGGTGCATCTCTAATTTGTGGTCTTCTGAGAAAATGCAACAACTTGGCTGAAACTACATTCTGCATGCCCAAGAGTTAAATCACAGAAAAGGTGAGGTTGTAAAAGAAGCACCAATTCTACAGTTTCATTGATTGGTGCATAGAGATGATGATCTGGCTCCTCCCTGACTGTTGATACAACACATGCAGGCTATGCTGTCCACCATGACCTTTTGGTGAATTTTGC